GCGGCCCTGGAGGGCAAAGGGAGACCCGACGGCTGTCGCTAGGGAGGGAGGGAGGGGGCCCGCGGCTGTGTCCCCAGATGCTCCCGCTGGGAGGACCGAAGCAGTGGTTGCCGAGGCCACTGGGACCGCACTCCCCCTCCCCCTCCGCGCGCCCCGGGAGGGCAAAGGGAGCCCCGACGGCTGTCGCTAGGGAGGGAGGGAGGGAGGGAGGGAGGGGGCCCGCGGCTGTGTCCCCAGATGCTCCCGCTGGGAGGACCGAAGCAGTGGTTGCCGAGGCCACTGGGACCGCACTCCCCCTCCCCCCCACAACCTGCAGCCCGGAGTTCCTGCCCTGACGGCGGTGCCCCCTCTGCTTCCTCCCAGGGAGCCCCGTGGCCCTGGAGGGCAGTCCCAGGAGGGAGCCCCCCCCTGCGGAGGAGCCGGCCCAGCAGCCCAACGGGCACCTGCCCCCCAGCACACCCCCGCCCAGCCTGGAGCAGGCCCTGGGGGCCCGCCTGCGCCACATGGGCGACCACTTCCACCGAGAGCAGCAGCAACGGCGGCGGCAGCAGCAGGTGAGCCTCCCTCTGCTCCGGGCACAGGGCGCCCCCTCCAGCCCTGGCTCCCTCCCCTCCCCTCCCCTCCCCTCCCGCTCAGGGACGACCTGGGCAGGGCTCCTGGCAGCGGCTGCTGACTCACGGCCTATAAATAGCCCCGGGATATATAAGGCCGGGCGGGCACCGTCAGCAGAGCCAGAGCCCGGGCAGCAGCCCTGGCTGGCAGCAGTCTGGAGGGGGGGGGGCTGTGTGTGTGCGCACATGCGAGCGTGGAGGGGGGGCACCCGCTCCCCGACCCTTTTCTCACCTGCCGCCTTCCCCCCCCTTCCCTTCCTTCTCCACAGCTGCCCCCGAGGGCCCTCTGGGACCACTTCTACCGCTTCATCTTCCAGCTGCTGGGCGTCTTCTACAACCGGCCGGTGGAGGGGGCACTGGGCCTGGGCCCCAATTAGCCCCAGGAGGTTCCTCCTGCTGGCCAGGGGGAGACAGCAGGCCCCACCACCGGGGACTTACTTGGCTGGCTGGGCACACACACACACCCAGGACGAGGAGGAGGAGGGCAAGGACCGCTGCTGCTGCTGCTGACGGCTTCACCCTACGGAAGGCCAGAGAGAGAGAGAGAGAGAGAGGAGGGGCAGCCGTGGCTCCCTCACGCCCCAGCCCAGCAGTGCCTTAGGAGGGGAGCCCGCTGCTCACCAAGGGGCGTGACCTTTAGCACTATGTGAATACTGTTTATTGAGCCTGTACAGATGGGACATGGGGGGGGGGGAAGAGAGCAAGGGGGCAGCCCCCCACCTCCATCAGGAGGGGTCACCCTGGCTCATGTACAAAGGGGGGGGGGGCTGCAGATGTGTACATATACATGTATATAGCGGTGGGTGGGGAGGATCTTTGGTTCGTGTACATAGGCTACCTTGGTGCTACCTGTACATACTTGAGGGGGACACTGTACTTTGTGTGTGGGGGGGATAATTTTGTATGATGCCTTTTCAATAAAACTGGATAGAGTCAACCTGTAGCATTTCCCCTATGAGGAAAGGTTAAGCGCTTAGGTCTCTTTAGCTTGGAGAAGCGACGACTGAGGGGTGACATGATTGAGCTTCATAAGATTATGCATGGGAAAGAGCAGGTAGAGAAAGAGGTACTTTTCTCCCTTTCTCACAATACAAGAACTCGTGGGCACTCCGTGAAATGGCTGAGCGGTCGGGTTAGAACGGATAAAAGGAAGTCCTTCTTCACCCAAAGAGTGATTAACACATGGAATTCACTGCCACAGGAGGGGGTGGCGGCTACAAGCATGGAATCAAGAGGGAATTAGATAAGCATATGGAGCAGAGGTCCATCAGTAGCTATTAGCCACAAGGTATAGATAGGAGCTCTGGGGCAAGTGATGCTCTGTCATCTTGGTGCTTGGGGGGGAGGTCAACAGTGGGAGGGCTTCTAATGTCCTGGCCCCACTGGTAGACCTCCTGATGGCACTGGTATTTCTAGCCACTGTGTGATACAGTCTGTTGGGCTGGATGGGCCTTTGGCCTGATCCAACATTGGCATCTCTTATGTTCTTAAAGGCCCACCCTTTAAGCACTTGGGGCTCTTTAGCTTGGAGAAACGATGTCTGAGGTGGTGACATGATCGAGGTTTATAAGATTATGCATGGGATGGAGCAGGTTGAGACAGAGGTATTTTTCCCTTTCTCACCATACAAGAACTCGTGGGCACGCAATGAAATTGCTGAGCAGTCGGGTTAGAACGGATAAAAGGGAGTCCTTCACCCAAAGAGTGATGAACACGTGGAATTCACTGCCACAGGAGGTGGTGGCAGCTACAAGCATGGATGGCTTCAAGAGGGAACTGGATAAGCATATGGAGCAGAGGTCCATCAGTGGCCCCTATTAGCCACAAGGTATAGATAGGAACTCTTGGTCTGGGGCAAGTGATGCTCTGTCTTCTTGGTGCTTGGGGGGGAGGTCAACAGTGGGAGGGCTTCTAGTGTCCTGGCCGCACTGCTGGACCTCCCAATGGCACCTGGTGTTTTTGGCCAGTGTGACACAGTGTTGGATTGGGTGGGCCACTGGCCTGATCCAACATTGGCTTCTCTTAGGTTCCTGGGGGGCGGGGCACACACATACACGCGGGCAGGAACGGAGTTCCGGATGGCTCCCACGCCGAGCAGGAACTCATTAGCATAATAGGCCACACCCAACAGCAGAAACTCATTAGGGTTGGCTACAATTAACCCCTAATTGTAGCCAACCCTAATGGCCCAACCGTGTGGCCTAACATGCAAAGCAGTTCCTGCTACAAAAAAGGCCCTGGGTTTTGACAACAAACAAGGTCAACAGAATAAGAAGCAAAAGGTGGGTGTGGCTGGATGAGCACACTTCTGGTAACATGGGGGTGTGGCCTAATATGCCAATGAGCGGTGCTGTCAGGGGTGTACAGGGCAGAAGTCAGTCTCATGCTCTGTTCTGTCCAGGAAAGCTAGCCCCCCCCCCCCCGCCCCTGAGTGGAGGGCGGAGGAAGTCCAGGTTGAAACAGAGGGCGGCTTTTGCAGAGTCAACCCTGGTCTCTCTCCCCCCCCCCCGTACAGTGGGCTAGAACCCGTGTGGCTTTTCTGAGGAAGCGCCATCCAGCTGCAGCCACAGTGGCCGAGCAGAGGGCGAGGTTTTTCCCAAGTCGCAATGCGATGCTGCCAGAGAGGGGGTGGGGACGGAGGACTTTTGGGACCCCCACGGGAGACTCACGAGCGCTTCAGGACCTCAGTGCCACTTCCAGACAAGCGCCTGTGGCCCTCGTGGCTTCCGAGGGAAGGCAGGCCAGGCCCAGCGGTCCTTCCTGGGACAGAGCCTTCCGTCCCCCCTCACCGCTGCACAGGGGACCCCGGAGCCCCCACTCTCGCTCGGGCGTCACCCCGGTTTGCTCCTTCCACCCAAACTGGCGGAGGGGCTCAGGCGCCAGCCTCGGGTCCGGCAGATCCCAGACTGGAGATGCCAAGTGTGGCAGAAATTCTTGTGGAAACCGTCACTGGGCCATCTGGACTCCTAGGAGGTGCCCCACCCCACCCCCGCAAGAGGCAAAGATGGCGTCAGGCAGCCTTCAGACACACACAGAGAGAGCCACACGGTGTGTCCCCCCCCCCGCCCCGATGTCTCCAGAGGACTGCGCCCTATTCCAGGCACCCCAGAGGGGTTTAGGAGAAGGGGCCGTGGAGGGGGTCTCGGGCCTGGAAAAGAGCAGGGGAGAGGCATGACTGCCCCCCCCCCAAGCAGCCCTTTGTGTGGCACCAGAAGAGCATTCACCAGTACTCCACTCCGGAGGGTGAGCCATGGCTTCCGGCACACTTTGGTGGAATGCGGCAGGAGGCGGGGGACAGCTACCAGCCTTGAGAGCTCATACAGTGTGTGTGTGTGTGTGCGTGCGTTCTTGTGTGGGGAGGGGAGGGTGGCGCTTCCTCCCGGGGCCTCAGCTCCTAGGAGTAGCCCAAGGTCAATCACACCAGGAAGGGGGGGCGAGGGCGGACTCACGGGATGGGACAGACGCAGCACTTTGCACGCACGCACCCCCCCACACACACACCCATTCCACAGGTTGTGCCAACTGAACGAGAGACGGGTTACAAAAAGGCCAGAGTTTATTGGGGAACTGGGACGAAAGAGACAACCTGCCCAAGGGGGGGGGGGGCCCTGGTGGCTCAGCCCCGGCAAGCCCGCCAGGCCCTCTGCCACCCCCACCCCCTCCCCAGGGGAGGGAGGGGCTGCAGGCAGGCGGAGCGAGGGGGGCCCCTGCAGGGAGCCACTCCGTGCAGACCAGAGGGGTGTGTGTGTGCGTGTGGATGTCAGCTGGGGGCCAGGCGCTCCACAACCCCGCTGCCCTTCATGCCATCGAAGAAGAAGAAGTTGTTGAGGGGGGCGTCCCGCTGCGACAGAGCCTGCAAGGGGAGGGGAGACCAAAAAGGCAGAGGGGTCAAGAGGGCCGAGGGCGGAAGACGCCTCTTCTGCCCCCGCAGCCAGACCGAGGAAGGCATGCCCAGCACGGCTGACCACTTGGGCAGCACAGGGAGGGAGGGAGGAAGGGCGGGAGTTTCTGCTGGCC